GTGAGTCACCCAAAAGCAGCAACCATGAAGGCTGTCTCTGAAATCCCAAAGAGCAAAACTTGACTGTTGGGAGAGGAGGGGGAAATGCCACTTTTGTAGTGATAAATCGAATAAGATCTGGCCAGGGAACAGCTGCAGTTACACCAACAGCATGTCCCCGAGGTAGGCTAACCACTGGGTTTCATAGCTGAATGGCTAGCTCTTAACTCTGGGGTACCCTAAGAAAAAAGGGAAGTGGTAAATGTTACTGTCCGCCTTTGCTTGTGTTGTTTTCTGAGCCTGGGTCCTTTCTTGAAGTATAGGGATTGCTGACCGATTTTTGTAGGGAGAACTCAACGTTTTCATTCATTTGCCTGCGTTGTCTGGTGGGTTTTTTAGGAAGCCTCTGGACATTTCTGCTCCTTTAATTTGTTCTTTTTATTCATTACCTTTTACTACTGGCTTCTAGTTATATTTTACTTTCCAAGCCACAAAGGTGCAGATTGGACCATTAAGGCAAAAAAGTACCAAATATCTGCTATAAGTAAACGCATTTGCAAATTTCTCTGTGTTAAAGCAAATGCGCACGCTGATGTATATGTCCAGGGCACGTATTGTATATCCACATACGTATCAAAAAGCAAATGAGAAAAATTGTAGTGTGATATTGAATTAAAATCTTGGGACAGAAACAAAAATAAAGGTATTGGAGCAATCCAAACTGGGCTCTGGCAGGTTGCCACAGATGGCAATAAAGTTGCTGTTGGTGGACTTCTACCACTGAAAACACTTAACTGAAAAAACAAAATAGGAGATAATGCAACACAATATTTTTTTTTCTAGGCTTCCTCACAGAAATATGTTTTCCAGCAGCAAAGTTTTTGGCCTCAGAAATGGAACGTTTTTGTAAGAAGCAATGCAAGAGGAATGCATAGTATTTTAATGTTTCGTTCTACTTGCCTGGATTTCCTTTCATGCTTTTGCTGCCAGAGCAAAGTTGTTTGCAGAGCTCTAGTAGAAGAATAGTTTAGAAAAAGTTATTAATAATAATTCCTTACATATGCAATGAAGGAGTTCCTGTGCCATCCTTATCCTGCTGATGGAATGATACAGGGTTAAGGAAGAGAGGAATTTGCCCGTAATATCAGAATTGAGAAGGATGAGAACTACAACCCCTTTTTCCTCCCTTTACAGCTCCAGGTTTCCTTAAGTCACCTGGGATTCCCAGCAGTGAATGCTGCAGCTAAACTAAGATTTCTATTACAGCAAAAATACAGTAGACCTTCCTGCTG